GATATAGAAGGGGCGCCTCTTTTTTGGGACCCCCCGATCGTGCATACGGATGATGACTGACGGAATAAGGAATTAAGGAATCAAGGATAAAAGGGGGGAGGCTTTTAAAAAAGTTTGGGGGGTTTTGGCTTCTAGGGTTGGGAGTTAGAGGGTCTCCCGGGTCCGGATGGGGCCCGGTCGATCGATTCGGATCCGGATGGGGTCGGATTCGGATGGGTCCGGTCGATCGATTGGGGTCCGGATGGGGTCCGGTCGATCGAAATCGGATCCGGATGGGGCTGGATTCGGATGGGTCCGGTCGGTCGATTTGGGTCCGAACGGGGCCCGGTCGATCGATCCGGATCCGGATGGGGCTGGATTTGGATGGGTCCGGACGATCGGCCCGGGTCCGGATGGGGTCCGGTCGATCGATTCGGATCCGGATGGGGTCGGATTCGGACGGGCTCCATCGATCGATCCGGATGGGTCCGGTCGATCGATTGGGGTCCGGATGGGGTCCGGTCGATCGATTCGGATCCGGATGGGGTCGGATTCGGACGGGCTCGATCGATTGATCCGGATGGGTCCGGTCGATCGATTGGGGTCCGGATGGGGCCCGGTCGATCGATTCGGATCCGGATGGGGCTGGATTCGGATGGGTCCGGGCGATCGGCCCGGATCCGGATGGGGTCCGGTCGATCGATTCGGATCCTGGATGGGTCCGGACGATCGGCCCGGGTCCGGATGGGGTCCGCTCGATCGATTCGGATCCGGATGGGTTCGATCGATCCGATCCGGATGGGTCCGGTCGATCGATTCCGGTCCGGATGGTGCCCGGTCGATCGATTCGGATCCGGATGGGGCTGGATTCGGATGGGTCCGGTCGATCGATTCGGGTCCGAATGGGGCCCGGTCGATCCATCCGGATCCGGATGGGGCTGGATTTGGATGGGTCCGGACGATCGGCCCGGGTCCGGATGGGGTCCGATCGATCGATTCGGATCCGGATGCGGTCGGATTCGGATGGGTTCGATCGATCGACCCGCATGGGTCCGGTCGATCGATTGGGGTCCGGATGGGGCCCGGTCCATCGATTCGGATCCGAATGGGGCTGGATTCGGATGGGTCCGGTCGATCGATTTGGGTCCGGATGGGATCCGGTCGATCGATTCGGAACCGGATGGGGCCCGGTCGATCGAAATCGGATCCGGATGGGGCTGGATTCGGATGGGTCCGGTCGATCGATTCGGGTCCGGATGGGGTCCGGTCGATCGATGGGGGTCCGGATGGGGCCCGGTCGATCGAAATCGGATCCGGATGGGGCTGGATTCGGATGGGTCCGGTCGGTCGATTTGGGTCCGAATGGGGCCCGGTCGATCCATCCGGATCCGGATGGGGCTGGATTTGGATGGGTCCGGACGATCGGCCCGGGTCCGGATGGGGTCCGATCGATCGATTCGGATCCGGATGCGGTCGGATTCGGATGGGTTCGATCGATCGACCCGCATGGGTCCGGTCGATCGATTGGGGTCCGGATGGGGCCCGGTCCATCGATTCGGATCCGAATGGGGCTGGATTCGGATGGGTCCGGTCGATCGATTTGGGTCCGGATGGGGTCCGGTCGATCGATTCGGATCCGGATGGGGCCCGGTCGATCGAAATCGGATCCGGATGGGGCTGGATTCGGATGGGTCCGGTCGATCGATTCGGGTCCGGATGGGGTCCGGTCGATCGATGGGGGTCCGGATGGGGCCCGGTCGATCGAAATCGGATCCGGATGGGGCTGGATTCGGATGGGTCCGGTCGGTCGATTTGGGTCCGAATGGGGCCCGGTCGATCCATCCGGATCCGGATGGGGCTGGATTTGGATGGGTCCGGACGATCGGCCCGGGTCCGGATGGGGTCCGATCGATCGATTCGGATCCGGATGCGGTCGGATTCGGATGGGTTCGATCGATCGACCCGCATGGGTCCGGTCGATCGATTGGGGTCCGGATGGGGCCCGGTCCATCGATTCGGATCCGAATGGGGCTGGATTCGGATGGGTCCGGTCGATCGATTTGGGTCCGGATGGGGTCCGGTCGATCGATTCGGATCCGGATGGGGCCCGGTCGATCGAAATCGGATCCGGATGGGGCTGGATTCGGATGGGTCCGGTCGATCGATTCGGGTCCGAATGGGGCCCGGTCGATCGACCCGGATCCGGATGGGGCTGGATTCGGATGGGTCCGGACGATCGGCCCGGGTCCGGATGGGGTCCGGTCGATCGATTCGGTTCCGGATGGGGCTGGATTCGGATGGGTTCGACCCATCGATCCGGATGGGGTCGATCGATGGATCCGGATGGTTTCGTTGGTTCGATCCGGATGGGTTGGATCGATGGATCCGGATGGGTTCGGTCAGTCGACCCGGATGGGTTCGATGGTCGGATCCGGACGGGTTCGATCGATGGATCCGGATGGGTTCGATCGGGGCGAACCCGATGGGCTTGCCCCTTGGGTGCTCGCCTTGCCTTGTACTG